ATTGTCAATGTGTATTGAACTCCTGACTAAGGAAACGCTGGATTTATTTGCACTTACATTAGCTAATTGGATGGATCATTGTTTACGTTAAAAACAATTAGCTATTTGTAATCAGGAAATATATGCACCAGTATGACAGTGCCAGTCCACCATTCTTTTCAGATTTTTGTTTCATATTTGTGTTCCCAATGAATCATTGGAATTAAACATTTACTGTATAACAATAAGGTTTTAATCTGAAAAAACATTACATGTGATGTGGTAACTGCATTATTTAAGGCAAAAACAGCAATTTTGAACCCACATTTTTCATAATGCAATTCAGTATATCATCATCTGTTATAGTAAATATGTAAAATCATTAATCAATTCATGCACTGGCACTCTTGAAGCCAAAAACGTGTTTGTAAATAGCAACGTTTGTGCTAAATCATAGATAATTCAATCAGAACAAAACTACTACATTATACATATTTCTGCTTAATACAAATGTTGCTGTATTTCTTTGTCTTGTTTTCATTGCTGCTCACTCTGTACTCTCTTTGTCATCGGGGCACAGCTCTGAAACACAGGAAAAGATAAAAAAGATAAAATGTGAGAGAAGAACGGAAGAAGGCAAATATTCTCACAGCATCATGGGACAATGTTGGCTCCATTTCCATTTCCTGGCTTCTCGTTATTCCTCTAAAAATGACATTTGCTGCATAAAGTGTAGATTTGAATATTGCATTTGAAAATACAACATCTCCACCTTGTGGCAACTTGTATAAATGATAGTGTCCAGTAAAGATCTAGCAGATCCAGTCCATTACAGCTTACTAAAAAGTTACTGACCTGTTTTACCATCGTAGCTATGGAAGTTGTCTGGGAAGTTCAGACACCCAACATGTTTCTTGTAAATTTCCACATCTTTGGGATCTATTTTTCCTGTCCTTGCTGAAAGAGAAAGGATGTTTGAAAAATAAGTTAACTAACTCTGACCCAACTGTGTTAAAGTTGATGAGGACAGGACTTACTGAACTGCAGGATGTATCTACCAGTGGTGTCCCCATTTCGAAAGGTGTCTGTCCACAGCAAGCAGTCAGAGCAAGTCTGTAGAATATGTCCTTTGTGATCTGACAGATTTTCTTTAAAAGCAGACAAAGTAACTTATTATTATGCAATATTATTTATATGGATAATATACGTTCTTGTGCATATACTGTGCTCTTATTCATCCTGTTAATATCACACCAAATAGGCTACATGTTGCTGTTCTCCTGTATTAATCAATACATCACTTGTCCACTTACTACGAAATGTGGTGGCAAGTCCTGAGACTGTTGCATTTACCTCCCCTGAGATACACCGATTACTGAGAAACAAGAACATGTTGTGATAGAATTTTTTTTTGAAAGGCTGAATATTTAACATGGAAGACTTTTTTCTAACACTCTGCTACAAACTTTAAGGATGATTCTGCCAGCAATTAACTAAATTACCAGACTTACAAGCATTGATCTCCCCAACGTAATGTCACAATTTGACTGTCAGAAGTGGGTGACAAGTCTATCCAGGAGCTTTTCAGAGACTCCAGTGCCTTGTGGTACGGCTTGGGGTCACCAGCTCCCATCACATACACCCATTTTCCAAAAACCTTGACACAAAAAGTCAAGATTCATGTAATATATTAATAATATCTGACTGTTTATTGTTGATAATATGCTTCTTAAATCAAATCAACCATAATTGGGATAAATAAGACAAAACAAGGATCATGAGAACAACTTACCAGTTTGGGGTCCTCTGGCATAAAAGGTTTGACCAGGTCCTTACAATCAGGTGCACTTGCCGCAGTGAGGGAAGTTAGAGCCAGCAGAAATACAACAACAAGCAGAGCCATGGTTCAGACAGAGGGGTGAGGATGAGATGGAAGAAGGAGAGACAGCGGCACTGCAGAGGATGTTGCTGAAGCTGCAACAGAAAACGTCTAAAGCTGATTCATTTTCCCTCTGGGGTTTCGAACAAACAAAAAAAGCTGTTGTGCAAGTGCTAATTTGGGGGAGGAGGGGGTTTCTTCATGCTCAGATGCACCAGTGGAGTGGAGTTTTAATGACCATGCAGAGCCAAGCAGGTTTCTTTTACTCAGCATCGAATGGCCAGCTCAACAGCTCACTGTTGCCAATACTGCTCCCCCTGAATGAACTCAGGCAAAGTGCCACAACTTGTCTGGGACTGTTGAGACATTAAGAAAGGACCTGAAGCAGCTTTTCTTTAGTGGAACGAAGGTTGTTTCCCTGTGGGTGTGTGTGGACTCCTTGTGGCTACAGTTTAAAATTTGACGTCTTCTTTCTCCCCCTTACAGGGACGTTACCCAGCAACAGCCTTTGTTGAAGTTTCTGGGAACAGCGGTGCATTTGAGAAGAGCTGTAGTAGTTTGGATGAAGCGTATAATTCTGACATATGGGTCAGCAGAATGTCTGGCATCTTTATTGTATTTGAAAAAGGAAATGTTGAACCTCAGAAGCCAAATGCCTTTTCTGCATAAGGGTAGACATAAATGACTAGAACACAGTACAGAAGGAGATTGAAAGCTGTTTTATTTTTTCCAGTTTACCAAACAGTTATACACTCAACTATTTACCGATTGTTAAATGTATTTAAAGGAGACATTTGAGTGGACTTTTCAACCATTACTGTACCTGCCAGAATATGCCACAAACTAGTCAGAGTTTGACATTTCCTAAACTAAATCATAAAAGTTCAAAGAACTTAGCAGGCAGAGACACACAATGATACAACTACACACAACAGATCTTACATGACATGACACCAGCAGGCCTGGTTTTAACATTGCTGGACAATGACCATTGAAAAGTTATTTCACAGGACAATATTATATCAGTGCACATGCAACAACAACACTATTTAGTGCATGTTAAACTGAATATGTTTGGGTGTGTGTAGGCTGTTCAGTGGGCTATGACACCTCCTTGCTCTGCTTTACTTTGCAATGGGCTGAACATCGGTTTCTTCATCCTCTGTATTCTCTACAGGAGGTGAAGCAGTTTCCCTGTCATCTGAACACAGATCTGAAATAAGAGAAAAATATTAGTGAAGAAAGATAATTGACTTTGGTAATTATTAATTAATTAAAGACACAGAGCTGAAATGGGAGCTGACCTGATCCTCCAAAGTGGTACTCTGGGAGGAATTTAAGACACTCTGCCTGCTTCTTGAACGTCTCTAAATCAGATGGTTCTAGAGTGCCGGTCCGTGCTTTAAAAGAGCAGCCAGAGAAATAAAACATGCAGAGTTATGTGGGGAGAAAGAAGAGAAGCCAACTGAGAGAGGACACAAAATAGAGACAAATGGGAGTAATTTCTCCAAATATTATCCTCCTAAATATATATTTCTACTCAAATCAGCTGTGGAGGGGGAAAAAAGCCTTACTAAAGAGGAAAAGGTATCGTCCCTTTGATTTGCCATCAGGGAGGAGGGTGGTGTCTTCGGACAGGAGACATTCTGAGCAGGTCTCATAGTACTTTCCATCATGATATGAAGTGTGGCCGTTGATATTAACTGTGAAACATCAGGAAAACAAAGCATCCACATAAATGTATATGCACGATATTAAAACAAGCGCAGAGTGACCTACTGTACGTTTTTATCTATTTGAAATGGTGTACAATAAAATATCACATAAAAATACCATAGTAAGAATAATAGTAACACATAGTCAGATACTGTATTCAGAGCCTTGTATGAGTGTTTACTTGAGATCCACCTACACTTAATGTGCTTTGGCTGCATGCATCACACACATAACATTACACAGCATAGAGAGAGATGGTGAGTCAGCAGAAAAATACTGTAAATATTTCAAGATACATACACGTGGTGTGACTGGTCATTCCTGAGATGGTGGCATTGGCTACACCCTGAAGGCATTTATCTTCACTTCTGTAATGAAAAAAAGAAATAGAGTTTCAATCCGCATCAACCTATACACATTTAACTGTAAATTGTGACGGATAACTACATCATTGTGAAGTTAAACATGGCAATGTGGTCATGTGACGGATGATTTGCAGTCAGCAGTGTCATTACAGGCGGTCGGCCCAGTAGATGGTCATGACTCCGCTGTCTGAGGAAGCCGACAGATCCACCCAAGAGCTGTTCACCGACACCAAGTCGCTTTTCAAGCCAGGCTGGTCCCACGACCCAACATGGAGCACCCATTTCCCATAGATCTGCCACAAACACAGAGGCAAAACATCCACACAGCTCACTCACATGACTGGGCTGCTTGTCTGTGTTAGAGTGCAATCATACTTTATTATCCAGTAGGAAAGTAGTAAAACATATACTCTCCAATATACTAGTACAATTAATTACCAATTATGTTTTTTGACTCCTAAACAACTAGTTTAATGCATTTTCCTTTTTTAACAGCCATAGTTATTTGAAATCACGCTGTAGAACATTTGTAACATAATATTACCAA